AGTCAAACAGTGAGTCAAACACTGAGTCAAACACTGAGTCAAACAGTGAGTCAGTGAGTCAAACAGTGGATGGATTAGACAGGCAGGCTGTGATGTTGCCCTGCCTGCCCAGTAGGTGGCAGCGTCACACCAACAGACATCTTTAACTCGCAGTCAGAAAAATAAAAATGTAGAAATCAAACGTCAGAGATTTTCAGACTGGAAGTTTGTTTTCCTGAAACAGGAAGTAAACAAAAATGAAAAGTAAATAAAAACTCACTGATTCAATTCAATTCAAACTATTACAGACACAGAGAACAGAGAAAAACAGAAGGAAAAGGAAACATGTGGAGGAATGATTATTTCCTCCACGTTTTCCACGATGTAGTGAAACCTGGTCATTTAAAGGGCCAGTGTCCTGTAAATTACACATTTTCATCTTTTGTTATAAAAATTAATCAAAATCAAACCTGCTGTGTTGCTTTGATTCCTCCACGTTTGGGAATTATTTTAATCTCTATGCCTGGGTGGACTTAGCTCCGCCTCCGATGTGCAGCTCCTCCCCCACTCAGCTCCTTAACACCGTTTAACTGAAATGTTAAAGGGTGAATAGAGGAGGCATGTTGGGACAACTTCCTGGAGGCAGAGCTTCTGGAAGAACAGGAGCTTCTTAAAGAGACAAGAGGCCCAATTTTAAGGAGTTAAATCAGGACAACAAATCTGCTTTAAGTCATGTTTGGAAGGACACGGAGTTACTGATTGTGCTGTAAAATGATAAAATGTGGACCAGACGGTACCGGCCCTTTAAGGCTCTGTGTGTCCGATTTGCAGGGCTGCTACAGCCAATTTTAAGGAATTAAATCAGGAAGTCATATTTGATTTTAAAAAAGCACTTTTAGATCTATTTAGAAGGTAATAGAATTGACATGCTATAAGAAATAAAACACTTGCTACCGGCCCTTTAAGTCTCTGGAAGTTTGTCCAGCTGATGACTACGATGGAGATGAAAGCCTCCAGAACCAGAACAGAAACTGAAACATTTCACCTGCTGAGTCACAGTCCCCCTGACTGAGGCTCATTTCAGCTCTGGACCGGGCCAGAACCAGGGTTCTGTTCTGCCCAGACAACAGGGATGAAGGCTGGCCCTCCTCTTCCTCAGTAGACTCAGGTTGCAGCTGGAGGCTTGGAAAGCGACACCGCCGGAAAGCAAAAGTAGAAACTCTGTGTGGACTCCTGGTTCCCAGGCAGGGTGTGAATACTTTAACCTGGCGGGTTGACCAGAACCAGAAACAGACCAGAACCAGACCCAGATGCGGTCCACGGCTGTGGAACAGATGCTGTACCTCGGACTGGTTCTGTCCCGCCTGGCTGGAGAAGGTAAGTTCCTCCATCTGACAGGAAACAGCCTGGAGGTTTCTGGGCTCCAAAAGAACCAGAACCAGACCGGACCTCCTCTGCAGAGAGGATCCATTCTGAGCTTTAAAAACTGATCTAGACTTTAAGGTTCTGGGTTCTGGGGAAAGTCTCCAAGTGCCAGATACAACCCAGCAGGGTGTACAAACTTTTTGAGGCTAAATTTGTCCACCTGAAAACAACTGCAGCCACTAAAATGGTCTAAAACTTTCAGTTTTAACTGATCAGTAATTAATTTAAATCTGAGGAAAAGTTTGATTTTGTAGAGACAAATGTGTAAATCGATACAAAACATTAAAAAAGCCCAAAGTTTCCTGGTTTGATTGTTTGTATTCAGTAACAATTAAGAAAAGTATATCAACATTTCTGAAAAAACTTTCAGAAATTAAAAGTATTTTTGTACATAATATTTCTTAAGAATATGCAATTTATCTGTAAATTATGTTGACAAAACGTCATAAAACCAGCCAGGCTTCCAGGCCAGATTTGCTTTTTTGGGGCTGCAAATGGCCCCCAAACCGCGCTTTGGACCCCTGCTGGAGCAACTGTTCAGCACAGCAGTGGTGGCATCATGCTGTGGGATTGCTTCAAATCCCACTTGACCCAGTTTAAGTGAACTTTAAATCCCTGAACGGAACCAGAACCTCGTCGAAGGCTGCAGGTTTGCTCAGAGCCAGCCGGGGGCTTCAGGGAGCTGCAGTCGCTTTTATTCTGTTTTATTCGCATTTCACACATTTATCCCAAATTATAAAAGATTTTAAACATGTTTACTGTGAAGTCAGATTTTGTCTAAAGCTGTTACTGACTGGTTCTGGTCCTCCAGGCGGTGCGGTCCAGCTGTTCTGCCGGCCCGGTCAGCGGCTTTCTCTGCCTTGTCCGTATGGCTTTGAGGACGAGCAGAACCTGGAGCGGCTGACGGTGCGCTGGACGAGCCCCCGCAGGAAGCTGCTGTGCCACTACATCAAGCACAGGAAGTACCAGAACTGCAGCACCGGCTACGCCATGCGGTACCGACCCGGAAGCATCCAGCTGTCCATCCAGTGGGCCCAGAACCGGGACCTGGGGACCCACGTCTGCTCCGTGGCGAAACCCCACGAGTCGCAGGACTTCAGCATCCACGTGGCTTGGATGGAAGGTAGCTGCCATCCGTCATGTTAGCATGTAGCTGCCAACATGTTAGCATGTAGCTGCCAACATGTTAGCATGTAGCTGCCAACATGTTAGCATGTAGCTGCCAACATGTTAGCATGTTGCTGCCAACATGGTAACATGTAGTCACCATCTGCCATGTTAGCATGTAGCTGCAAATATGTTAGCCAACATTTTTTGCGCTAACCCACATATGTGTTGAAAGGCGTCTAGGTTAAGTGATGCCAACTCCCACCTACAGGTGGCAGTATTTCTTCCTCTGCTACTCTGCTGCTTCAGCTTGACTTGATGTCTGTGATCGATGAGGCGAGTAACAAAAAGTCACATTTATGTCTAACATAAGAGGAAATATCAACATTTCCTGCAAATATTTTTAATGTTGCGCCACAAAATCAGTGATTTAAATTACTAAAAAATGACTAATGAAATCCTGGAGGAACTGTAACACTGACGCGTCAATTTTAGAGAAGGAAAATATGGCATGTTGTCACTGTAGCACAGTTCTCTTCTGCAGGAAGTTAGAAAAATGTGTTAATGTTTATTGAGCCATTTTAGTTTTTAACCTGAAGGCTAATGAATGAATTGTTTTTCCTGTAGAGTCCGTTACGTCGGCACCAACAGGGGGAGGGAACCGGCCAGGTATGTTAATGCTGAGCAAACTGAACAACACTTTATCAATATGATCAGATTACTGCATCAATGTTCACCTTCAGATGAGGCTCAATGACAGGCGGGAACTCTGATGCTAACGTGTTTTCAGGGTGCAGCTGGAGTTTCGTCATCATCGCTTTGACCTGCTGCTTCGTTTGCTGTTAGCAGAAAAACAGCGACTGAAACCCAGAAATCGGTCGAACCTTGAAGCTGCGCCTGTTTGACTGAAAACTACATATACAAAAATGTGTTTGTTGTTTCTGAACACTTTAATCTTCCTGCTTCATAATAAATAAAATAAATATTCCAGAAATTTTCCATTTCTGTCACAAAAACATGCATCAAAACTGAGTCAAAGCAACTTAAACATGATATTCAAAGCAATAAACTCAACATTTTAATCCAAAACTTGTTTCATTTTCACTAAAGAGAAAAGGAGGAATAATTAGTGCTGAATTCAGAGTTTCTCTGATGGATCAAGAAACATGAAAGAAAATCATCTAATAAATCCATTAATCTGAAAACATCTGGTTCCGTCTTCTGGCCTAATTATTAAACTTACTAAATTTATTTTCAGTGTTTCACCAACATGACATTCTCCTGGTGTGATTAGTAAAAACAATACAATTTTATTTAATTCATCAATTCCTGCTCCACAACAATAATTATCACTATCTATTAATGATATCTATAAAATTAATAAAATATTTGCGTCTTTTGATACATTAGCATGAGCTGAAATAGAGAAACTAATTTATTTATAACATTTATCCTCTAGAAATTTACATTTCACTGATTGATCACCAAACATAATTTTGTTTGTTTATGAGCATCTTTCTTTGAGCCAGCTGCCTGGCAGTGTGCAGGATTATCTGCGCTAGTCTGTGTCCGATCAATTAGACTAAAACATTATTATTAATCAAGTGAATTTCCATTTGTGTCTGAGGAAACTGGACCGTTCTGTCGGTGCAGAAATGATTATTAGTTATTAATAATAATTCTGCAGCAAGATCAGCAGCAAACACCAAAACATTCAGCATCTGTTCTCCAACACAGCTGGAGCTGAGCAGAGGGACTCATGTCAGACACCACTGAATAAAACTCTATCAAACATGTTTTATTGTCTTTCCATATAAAGGTTCTGGTGGAAACTTTTGTATTTGCTGGTTTCTGATACGCCTGTAAATCTGACGGACAACTGGCATCCACTAGCAACAATGATGGAGAACCAAAAAAACTGTAATTTTGAAAAAGTTCAAAATTTTAATGCAATTATTTTTTTACAGTCCCAAAGGGGAACCTTTGTACTATGTCTTTATGTTTCTACTCCAGCCGTAAATCTGATGCACAGCTGCATCCGCTAACAGAAGCAACGAAGCTGATTTTCTCGGTGTATTTCTCCTTCTAACTGATCTGATCAGACGCTGGAAAACACTGTTATTGTGTTCTACTTGTGCTAAAAGGAACTAGCCTATCGGAAGCTATGCTAGCCTAAATTAGTATCTCAATGCTAACATGTTGCTAATGCTAATGTTAGCATCCACATGTCTAAAGAAACTCCATGTGAAAGATCAGAACCTCCTGAACCTGTGGTGAACAGATTATAAACTAAATATCTTTAACATTGAGTTCTTGTCTATTTAGTTATAATAAATGCTCTTTTAATTAAAAATGTTGTTTATTTTGTAGATTAAAATATGATTCATTCATTTCAATGAATTAGATTTTTATAATCATCAGTCTGGGTTTGGGCTCCATGTCTGAAAAATGAGAAAAAACATCAATTTAAAAACAACCATAAAACCAAAAACAGTTAATCATTGATTTAATAAGGCTTCTAACAACATTTGTCAGAAACATTTTAGCTTTAGAGATTTGTTGCTACAGAAGCCAGAAATGAACTCAGAACATGTTCAACTGTACAATCCTGAGTGAAGAAACTGGTGTCGGTTCAGGTCCAATTCTGCATCATAGAGCATCAAGAAGTTTTTAAATGTGAAGGTCAAACATTTTTACATTTCTCCAGAAAGCAAACATCACTTCCAGCCGAGTTGTGAAAAACTGTCCTTCAGGAAGTTCAGGAAGCATCAACAGTTTGTGATGATGATGATGATGATATGTCTTCATCATCCGGTCACAGCTTAAATGTCTCTACATGCTTCACGTCTGTCCCAACAGCAGAAAGCTGCTCATCTAGCTGCTGCAGCTCTACGTCAGGCAGCAGGTCAATGTTGTAGTACTCTATGGAAAGCCATTGATATTTAATAATAGTTAAAACGATGCTGTGTTGAGTAAACTATAAGTTCACAAGTTATTCAAATATAAGACTTTATATTAACTATAGGAAGTTATACTGGAACATTTCCTCCTGTTTTCCTCTCCACTGTCGGCACATGCTTAGTTTCCTCAGGTAGAAAAACAATCAGCTGGAATAATAAACTCAACTGTCCTGATCTGAACGTATTTCTGGTTTTTATTATATTCTGGCTTCGTTCTTCTGTATTTAACCAATTATGTAAAGATTTAGATTATAAATTACATTTAAAACCTAAACAGAAGCTGCAGTGATTTCACACTTACTGTGAGAAAGTATTCAAACCCCAACCTGAGACCTGGTTGTTCCTCCTGCTGCTGCAGCAGCACTACTGAATGTGAACTTTGACCCCATCTGCTGCCCTGAATTGATTTAATTCAGACGCAGGGTTTTCCAGCATGATGATTGATTGATGGTTAATCACATCAGATACAGGATTTATCTAGGGGTGTGATTACTTTTCCACATAGCGACGTCCTGGAGAAGAAAACTTCTCTCTGCATTTACTCATCTTCTGCTAACCAGAAGAAGCCTGGGAGGGGGAAACATCGAATACGGAGCAACTTTGAGCAATCTCTTAATTCTTTGCCGGTGATGAAGACTTCCTGTGGTCTTCGTCATGGTTACTTTGTCTGCCTGGTCCGGTCCGGTCTGGTCCCAGATCACAAGCGCTTCATTTGTCTTCATAACATCTCCAGAACATTTCTGAACTCTGCTAATACGCTAATTTTCTTAACACTTTAGCAAATGTTTAGCATTATCTTTGCCACATGGAATCAACATTGAATTGAGCAATTTAGCATTAGCATCTGCTAAACTCTCTGTTGATATAGAGCGTTAGTGTTCTTTTCTGAAGGGAAATGAGTCTGGAATGTTATCGGACATGTTGAACCTCCAGCAGGACGAGCGAAGTTTGTTTCCCTTTGCTGCTGCTCAAGCTAACCTGACACACACCATGTTTACTGCACATGTGCAGTAAAGCTGCTAGGCAAACACTGCAGCAATAAGCCAGCGATAACTTGAGTGGAAATGATTCTTCACTCACCTCAGCATGCTGGATGCTTTTTAAACTAAAAGTGAACTGGTAGCAGGACCTTGTTTATGATTAATTTGGCTAAAATTCACCTGACCACTTGGTGGCGTTCACAGAGTATTATTATTTTATTCAGTGAATAATGTGTCATAAAAACTAAACAAGACTGTGATTTTGTATCAGATGTCCCGACCTGACACAGCAGAACCTGGTGGCCATTTTTAACAAAACACACTGAGCAGCAACTATAGACCTGAAATTGTTTTGTTTTTTCTTATGTTTATGATCATAGTAGTGCTAGCTTGCTATTGCACTAATACTTAATTTTTTGTATAGTGCTTTAGCTTTTTTCTAACTTTGAAAGAGCTTAGCTTCCTCGAAATAATTTTTTTCATATAAATTCTAAAGGCCTAATTTACTTGAATAAAGTTTGGCATTTAAGTTGAAGTTTTTCGGCTCCTGAATTTTTCTGGTAGTTAGACGCTTATACTCATGCTCTTATTTTGAAGTCTGCAGCTCAGTTTCCTCTCCTCACATTTTCTTTTTATTTTAAAGAAACTTTATTGAGCAAGAAGGAAGTGTCATTGACACGATGGTGCAGTCAGGGTTGAAATTAGTGCTTAGCATTAGCTTTCACCAATTATCATGTTGGTGTAGCGTGTTAGCGTTAGCAACACTAATGTTTACGGTTAGTGTTTTAGGGTTAGCGCTGCTAACCTTTCAGCTAGCGGTGCCCACCACTGAGGTTTGCTTTCATCAGCGTTAATAAGCTGGATATTGTGTGGTGTTGTAGGCTGTGGCCTTAATGGTTGTCATGGTAACAGCATGGGTTAGAGGTCGGAGGAGGTCAACTGATTGGACGCAGCAGTGCATCAACATCATTCCATAAAACATCCAAACATTTTATCAGACATAAATCAGATCCTCAGTCCAGGTCCGGATCCGCAGCGCCACCTTCTGGTCAAACATCTGGACGTTAATGCAGAACATTACTGTAACGTTCTGGCTCCAGAGGAGTTTGGGTCATGTGACCAGGTAAGGTCTCTGCTGATTGGACAGAACACAGGCAGAGTTAAAATCCTTCCTGCTGAGTCGAGCAGGGAGGATCATGGGAAATATTTCAGCCTCCTCCACGGTTTGAGCAGATCGGATCGGTCGGCTCTGGCTGGTCTCTGACTCACCAGGTTCATAAGTTTTCATACAGCAGCATGCCGTTGAAGACGGTGAGCGGCTCCAGGGAGTGGGGCAGCCTCCCCCTCACCAGGTCCACACACACCGTGTCGCCGCGCTGCAGCGGCAGCACCAGGCTGAACACGGCCAGCGAGCCGCTGCTGACCTTTGACTCGGCCACCGGCTTGGCCTCCAGGTCTTCGGGCTGGTAGCCCCCCGAGTCCACCCGGACCACGCTATAGTTGGACTTGGCCAGAACCGCTTCGATCTTCTCGTTCTTGTGTCCCGTCAGGACGGCGCTGAAGTAGTAGTGTCCGTCCAACGGGGCGGTGAAAACACCTGTGGAGGATGGGTTTACGTATCAGAGCTCACAGTGGCTGGCTGGACCAGAACCACCAGAACCTGCTCACCTGTCACCGGGTTGTAGAAGTTGCCCTCGTTGACAAAGACCTTGTTAAAGACGACAGTTCCTGTCGTTTCCTTCAGAGCAGTGAGGCCTGCAGAGAATGACAGCCTGGGCCTGTGAGCGTCCACACCTGGAAGACCTGAGGACAAGAAGAGACAGGTCAGGCCCCGTGGACCGTCTGCAGCCAATCAGAGGCAGCGTGGACCGTCTGCAGCCAATCAGAGGCAGCGTGGACCGTCTGCAGCCAATCAGAGGCAGCGTGGACCGTCTGCAGCCAATCAGAGGCAGCGTGGACCGTCTGCAGCCAATCAGAGGCAGCGTGGACCGTCTGCAGCCAATCAGAGGCAGCGTGGAGCGGTTTGAGGTCAGCAGGACGTACCTGGTTCACCTTTAGGACCTGAAAAAAAACAGAGGAAATCAGCTTCTCTTGCTCTGCATCGCTGCTTTTGATCATCAGACATGAATTATGAGATCAAAATGTGATAATTACCTTTAAAACTTTTAAAATTTTCTTTCAGTTATATTCTAATGATTTCAAATATTTTGCTCCTCTTAAACCTGATCAAATGTATTATTGAGCACATTATAATACTAATAACAGCTAATAGCAAAGCTAGCATTTTTGCTAACTTTGAAGCTAATTTTATTTTTTATTTTTTTGTAAACTTTAAGTTGAGTAAAGTTCAGCATCTGTGTTGGAGTTTTGTCTGGACTCTATCTGAAGTTAAATATATGAAATAAAGACAATAAAATCAGGAAAGCATGTTTTTTGATGCAGTTGTTTGATGGAGTGAATAAATGTTAACTGTAAATAATAAAGTTAATTTATGAAAGTTCTGTATCACTAAAGTCACATTTTGCTATTTCATATAAATCTGCCTTTTATGTTACAGCAATTTTAAAGTTTGAAATCCCAAAATGCAGTGTTGAAGTTAGCATTTAGCATTAGCTTCTGCTAAACACCATTTTGATGCATCAGTTTATGTTAGTGGTTAATGCTAGCGCAGCCAGCAGTGTGCTTTAAAGGGAAGTGGAAAACAGCTGATTCCGAAACACTTTTGACCTTTGAAAAATCTCAAGAAATGTTTTCACATCTGGATAAAAACTAATACTGATGCCAGATTTATTTTAGAGCTGTAGGAATGAAGCTTTCCACCTGGAAATCCTCGGGATCCGGTGTCTCCTTCAGCCCAGGAGGTCCAGGGCCCCCGGGGGCCCGGCAGCCCCATCAGGCCTTTCTCTCCTGGAGGCCCTGGAAGGCCTCAGGGAGGAAGTTTTGATATATGATAAAAACATTAAAAAATTGCATTTCCAGCTGAGAAAAAAATCTGTAAGAATTTTAGCCGCATAAATCAGATTTTTTTAGACAAACAGTTTAATTTTATTCAGATCATAAATAAAATTAAAGTTTCTGCTGTTAAAACCTGGAGTTTATCATGCAATAGGAGAAGACGCCTAACGCAGACTTCAGTCTTTTAAGAAATGTTTGAATGGATGAACCATTCAAACATTTCATGTTTCTCCTTGGAGCTGAGCGCTCCTCTCCTGAGCCAATCAGAGGCAGAGGCTCATCAGCTCAGGTGATGGAGACAGTAACCATGGTAACTCAAAGTGCTCCCGCTGAGCGTCCAGCAGGGGGCAGCAGCTGACGGCAAGAACGATGAGCCTCTTTTAAAAAGCAGCTCTGAACATTTTAAAGAGAGGTTCTGGTCTGGATGAGTTGGACTGGAGGAAACCAGAACCACCTGACCCAGAAAGCAGCAGAAGAAATTAGCTCACCAGTCTGCCCAGTCTGCCCAGTCTGCAGCCCTTTCTGGACCTGGGCCAGGCTGGAGTTCAGGCTCTTCACCCTGCTCTGGACCCGCTCCTGGTTCTTTTGAACAGAGTCCAGGATTCCTCCATGTTGGATGAGGGTCTGGTTCAGGCCGGAGACGTGGCTCCACAAACCCGACATGTGGCGATTCAGGCCTGCAGACAGAACCCAGCGACACGTTACGGTCCGACACGTTACGGTCCGACACGTTACGGTCCGACACGTTACGGTCCGACACGTTACGGTCCGACACGTTACGGTCCGACACGTCAGGCTCCGGGATCAGGAAAACCCAGGGCACCAAAAACAACATCGCTTTAATGAATCAACTGCAATTACTAAAAACCAAGCACCAGCAGGGCCGGTCCAGTGCTGTCTGGGGGCTTGGGCAGAATACGACCAGGGGCCTCGCTTCCTGCTGAGGACTTCAGAGAAACCCGGGAGGGCCCGGGGTTTAATGAGCCCAGTGTAACAGCAACCAGATTGTTCCTCTGGTGACCAAATAGTATAACTATGAACTGTTAAACAATAAACCTGCCAGCTCCATAAAATCTTACATTTAAATATAACATTTTAAATACTTTCATTCATATACTGAAACCATTAAGTCAGATTTTACAGCATTGTTATTCTGAATAAATAAATGTTAAAACTCCAGATGAATCTGTGTTAACATTCATGGGACCTTAAGCAGCTGCTGAGTTCATTTATGCCTTGGGCCGGCTGTGAACGTGACCGCACGTGTTTTCAACCAGTAATCAACCAGTGGCTTTGAAGTGGGATTTAACTTCTGAAATATTTATTTCAATTGTAAGTTTTTGCTTTGTCATTAATGAGACTCTAAAGTTGTGTTTAAAGTCATTGACAATGTGCTGCAGTAACTTAATATTTTACACTTAAAACAGAAACTGGGCGGCCCCCTGGTGGACGGTGCTGGCGCTACACTGCAGGGCTCAGCGGGTTTTCTGAGGGAAACCCTGAACCTCATCTTTCCGTACTGGGCGAACATCATAAATAGGAAGCTTGGAGCGTCACTTCCTGTCGGTAAAACATAGAGGATGTTTGCAGGGACATAAATCAGATTTTAACGCAGCTCAAAATATTCCTGGGATTGGAGAAATCAGGATTTTTCTCCTTAAAGGCACAGACTTCTTCATCAGAGCTTCATGTGAATCTGACCTTCTTTGACCTTGGAGATGGAGTCGGAGACGCCGTCCAGCCTGGCGCAGACTCCCTCCAGCTTGGACAGCCTCTTCTCCAGCCCGTCTCCAGAGCGCCGGCAGTCGCCCATCTCCGCCACCAGCATGCTTTCGAGGCGGCGGACGTCCCGGTCCGTCCGGTCCAGTCGCTCCTGGCTCCTCTGGACGTGCTCCGTCACTTCCTGCTGAATCTTGTCCAGCTCAGAGATGATCTTGTCCTTGGTGTTTCCTGCAGAAGGTCAGAGGGAGACGTGAAGCCGGTGGCAGCGGCGGCGGTGGTGGTGGCGGCGGCCTCACCCAGGTCGGTGATGACGCTGCCATGTTTCTGCACGCTGTGCTCCAGGCCCTTCAGCGTGTCGTTGATGGAGCTGAAGGTGAAGATGATGTCGCCGAGCTCGCCCTGCAGCGTCTTCAGCTGGTTGCTGTTGAAGGATCCTCCGATCACGCTGTGGCCATCTAAAGGCTTCTCTGCGCCCAGGCCCGGCCCCAAGCCCCCTGCAGCAGGAATGCCAGTGGAACCGACACCTGAACATTTTCAGAACCAGAGACTAAAGTCTCCGATCAGAGAAACTTTGATTCCTGCAGCGTCTGACTGACAAACCGACAGACCAGAACCTGCAGCTGGAGTTCTGACTAGAACCAAGAGGATAGAGACACCAGTTCTACACCACCCAGTTCTGGTAGTTTATGAATCACTGAACGGTGTAGCACCACATTAAAGATCAACCTTCCCAACCACTCAGGTTCTGGTTCTGATTCTGCTCTGCATCAGATCCAGAACCAAACATGGAGAAGCAGCATTCAGCTTCTATGCACCACAGATCTGGAACAAACTTCCAGAAAATTGAAAAACAGCTGATGTTATCCGCCCAGAACCAGAACCTGTAGCTGCTTCCCTTAGTGATGAAGGTGGGGCTGACCTGTGAAGGAGTCGGTCCCGGTCCCGTCCGCAGCGCTGTGAGCATCTCCGGACCTCGTCTCGCAGCGAGCGGACGTCGTCCTGCAGCGGCAAGCAGACCCGGCTGCAGTCGCCGCCCTCGGAGTCCAGCCGGGTCTGGATGGTGCCGACGTGGCTCTCCAGGTTCAGCAGCGCCTCCTGCATGGCGCTCAGGTCCTGGGACCGGTTCCGGAGGTTCTGCAGCTCCGCCTCCACGCGGCTGCACAGCTCACAGTCCTGGCCCAGCATCTCCACCTCCATCACGATGCGGTTGAAGTTCTCACCATTGTCACCGGTCAGTGACTTGATCGCCTGAACGTCGTGGCTCAGGTCCAGAACCTGGACAGACCGTTTGGACCGCATCAGCCAATCACAGCTCAGGATTCCATCAGCATCACAGAACCAGCACCAGTACATGAGCAGAGAACCTACAGCTGAAAACGTATATTTACATGTATGGAAATACACAGGATGATTTTTACTGACGGTACATCAGAACCGAATTATCCTGTTTCTACAACGGAGCAACACGACCAGAACCAGAACCAGAGGTTTCACTGTTTTTAAATGACGAGAATAAAGTCATAATGTTATCAGGATGTGACATGAACCATTTTCGTTTCAAAGATCTTCTGCCGATAACAATCTGACTTATGTGTAAAAAAAGTACCAGCTGTTCAACATTCCTCATTTTGTTGTTTTATTTATTTCATGAAGGGAATTTAAAATTACTACTTCATTCTCAAAATATTAGAATTATTAGTTTATTCTTGTGTTATTATTATGTTTTCCTTGTAATATTACGATGTTATTGTCATAATATCTAAGTCTGACCTAAAACAGGAACATTTTTTATGAGAGGTTTTCCTGAGAGTGAACCGACTGCAGTTTTCTGACCGATCGCTGATTACTGATCTTTTAAAAAGGCTAACTTACTGATTCTAATTTTGTCTGAAATGTTGCTCAATATACCAAGAGAGTATATTGAGTGACTGGTCGGCTGGTCTGTCAGTCACACCTCTCACAGGAAAAAAGAAGAGCACAGAGGTTGATTTCTAGACTTTTGCCGAGGTTGACATCAACATCTGTGGATAAGATCGGCTTCACATATAAGAATCGGCCGATCACTGATCTCCCAATATTAAGGAAATCAGCTGGCCGATAAATCAGTGCACCCCTAGTTTTTCCTAGAAGTTTTCCTGGAGCTGAAGTCAGTGTGTTTTCATCGGATCTGGTCTCAGCTACAACTCTCCTCGTGTCGGTAACTCAAACCGTGTTTTGGAGAAGGTGGAGCGCTGAACTCACCCGGTCATGCAGAGAGTCTCCAGACACCGACAGGTCCTTCAGTCGAGTGTTGAAGTGTCGAATCTGACCCTCGTTGGCCACAACTCTCCACTCCAGAGATTTCTTGGTCGTGTTTTCTCTCCCGCCAGATAAACCTGTTCCTCCAACTGATCCAGCACTTCCTGCTCCACCTCCATACGATCTGGTGAAACCTTCCCCCGTGTCTCCGCCTCTTTCTTCTCCTTTACCTCCACCTGCTTCAGAAGCCCCTCGCCCACCCGAGCAGTGGCACTCCTCCATCCTCTTCCTCGTCTCGGCCGTCTGGTTCTCCAACGCTGACACTCTCCTGTCCTGCTCCAGCAGGTTGCTCTGCAGCTGTTGCACCTCCAGCTCCACGTCTTCGATCCTGAAGGTGCGGTCGTCAAAGCGGTGTGAGAACGCCGTCCGCAGGTCGTCCAGCTCTCTCTGGACAAACTCCCTCAGGTCAGCCTGCAGGTGAGAGCACACCTGGAGAACGCTGCTGTTGATGCTGAGCTCCAAGTCCTTCAGGAGATTTGCCCGAACATCGGTCAAACCATTGCGTCCTCCACTAGCCCCTCCCCCTCCAATTGCCCCGCCTGTAGTTACCCTCCAGTAGCTCCTCCCCCTCCCTGGGACTCTCCTCTGTCGCTGCCGGGGCTCAGGCGGCCCAGCAGGATGTTGAAGCTCTCTGAGGCAGAGCTGATCTTGTTTTCGGCGTCGCTCATGCGGTTTTGTAGGTCGTCAATGGAGCTGCAGCATCTCTGGGAACGCTGCAGCTCCAGTCGAAGCCTTTCGGCATCCTGTCGGTGGCGAACGTTGGCATCGTTCAGCTGCTTCTCCAGAGAGCGGATCCTCTCCTGGTCCTGTTGCTGCTGGCGCCGCAGGTCCTCCACGCCGGCCTGGGAGCGACAGAGCACAGCGTGAGATTCCCAACGGCCCGGACGGCGAGCGGAGCCAAACACGGAGGATTTACCTGACAGGAGGAGCAGGACAGCAGCACTCGGCGTTCCAGCTCCTTCAGGATGCTCTCCTTCAGGGAGCTCAGCTGGTCTCCACTCAATCCTCCAGGGGAAACGTCTCCGTCCAGATCGTTGCCCTTCCCGTTCACCAGGTGGTTGTTAATGCTCACCAGAGTTTTATCATGAGCCTGATGGGACACAAGCAAGTGCGGTTAGCATCCAACCAACCAATCAACCAACCATTGAACCAATCATGTTTAATGACTGGTTGAACATGATCAATGATCATTGAACCACTCAATGTTCAATGATCATTGCTCATTGATCGTTGTTTGGTTTGATGGTAAGTTCAACCATCCAACCAACTATTTAACCAAGCATCCATCGTTTTTGAGCAAATGGCAGGAAAGCAACAAATGAATGAATTATGCTAACAAAAAAGTACAACACACAGACAAACAGGTTTTTAATTAAATAAACACAAAAATTCACATATATTTTGCTCGTGACACATGGTTTATATGAAGATTTAGCATTAGTGTCCAGTAAATATGCTCGTGAAGCACTTTAGCATTAGCTTCCATGAAATATCATGTTGGTGTAGCATTTTAGCATTAGCAGAACTAATATTCTTCATTAGTGGTTTCTGGGTAGGGTAGCTAAAGTTTTAATTAGCGGTGCACACCCTGAATAAATCTATTTTGTGAAAACAGTTTTAATTGCTGAGCTTTTTATTTGTCTTGTTTATTCTATGTCATGTTTCTTTGGGATGAAAGTTGTATAAATGCTCTGATGTGGTCTAGCTACAGACCCTACTTGAATCTCCAGATCAGTGGTGTCAACATCCAGTCCTCAAGGGCTGGTGTCCTGCAACCTTTAGATGTGTCTCTGCTGCACCACCTGAATAGAATAATGAGGTCATTAAGACTCTGGAGAACTGATCTACACAAGGAGGAGGTAATTAAGCCATTTCATTCCTGTGTTTTGATACCTGTGGCACATCGAAATACTGCAGGACAGTGGCCCTCGAGGACTGGAGTTTGACACCCCTGCTCTAGAGAAAGTCGATAATTAGGCCAATTGAAATGTACTAATTTGGGACTTATTTCTGAGGTTAAATAAATCATCAGTTTGATAAATGGACTTGAGAGAATATCTGAAGTGAGTTAGGATGATGGTAAGAAGACCTTCCAAACCTCCAAGACTAGGAGGTCTAAAGACTAATCATCCAGACCACAGAAGAAGACCGTGACCCTACTGCTGTGCACCTTGGTTCGGTTGTCCAGCTGGTCCAGTTTGGTCTGAATGCTGTGAATCGTCTCTTTGATTTCGGGTGGCGCAGCATCTGCCGGGTTTTTTCCGGGTCTGACAGGTTCGTGGTGGAGGTGTTCATTCATGGTGGACTGGAAATCCTGCAGCTTGTCCGTCAGCCTCTGGATCTTTTCCTCCAACCTCTTGATTTCCTCCCGGTCCTGTCGTCCTGGAAGGGAAGGAACGGACCCAGCTTTCAGGTTTCATGTTCAGACACCAACAGCAGAAATCAAACCGCATCAACTGGAACGAAATGAAAGAGAAATGATAACATGTCTGAAGTTTCCTGTGAGTTTCTTGTTAGGTAAGTTACTCAGTCAAAAATTAACCACAATAATTTATTACTTCGCAGTTTATAAGAGAGAATTAAGGGTTAGCATTTTATTGATTTATAAATGTCACAGTTTCTAACTAAATATTGAAATATTTGTTTCCAAACAAAATATTTTGCTTCAAACTACAAATGTAGCTAACAAGCTAAGTATTAGTCTTCAAAGTAAATATTTTTTTAATCACTGTATTTTTATTGAGGTTTTTTCTTTCCATTCATACATACAGTTTGCGAATACAAAGAAGTGTTTATCCGACATAGAATAATATATGAAAAAAAAGAACAAAGAAAACAAAGAAAAAAAAAAAAAAACAAAAAAAAAAAAAAAAAAGGTTAATTAATCCCTCAACTTAATCCCATTCAGCCCACCCAAGTCACTGCTCAGAAGGCCAATGCACTACGTTCCCATCCCTGTCAAGAATGGAACAAATTTTGATAAAATGTGTTTACCTAATTGATCTGGAACATCATTGCATATTTTGAAAAGAGTTGAGAAAGGGCCCCCATGTTTCTTCAAATTTACCAGTTGAGTGTTGAAGAGAGCATCTAATTCTTTCCAGTTTCAGACATGACATAAGGTCACATATCCACTGTTTATGAGTAGGAGGAGCAGCACCCCTCCACCTGGTCAGAACTGTGCGCCTCGCTAGCACTGAGCAAAATGCCAGTGCCCTTCGTTTAGAAGCCGATAAAGGCAACTCCTTTCCACTAAAACCGAAAAGGGCCAAGAGAGGGCAAGGTGTCACCACCACTCCGGCCAAACCAGACATCGTACGGAAGACATCTTTCCAGAAGTGACCCAGAGCGGGGCAGGACCAATACATATGAACCAGTGTGGCTACGGCAGTTTTGCATTTGTCGCAGTATGGGGTGACTTCTGGATAAAAACGAGATAGTTTGCTTTTGGAAAGATGGGCTCTGTGTACTATTTTGAACTGAATGAGACAATGGCGTGCACACAAAGATGTTGTATTCACTAGTTTAAGTATAGAGTCCCATGTGTCATCCAGTATAGTAATATCCAAGTCTTCTTCCATGAAGTTTTAAGATTAGATGAGGAGGTCTCCGTCAAACTCAACATTTTACTATAAAGCCACGAAACCATACCTTTACGAGTCGGGTTCAATGATAAGATAGTTTCCAATAAAGTGTCCTCTGGCAGGGAAACTGAGCCTGATAAGTGAGACTAAATGAAGTTTCTGGTTTGCAAATATCTAAAAAAGTGAGATTTAGGTAAACCATTTATTGCCAAGTTCCTCAAAGGATGCCAAACTCTTCTCCATGAAAAGGTCTTTAAAATGAGTAAGCCCCTTCCGGTGCCACTCTAAGAACACCCCATCCTGAACAGATGGTCTAAAAAGGTGGTGGACTTAGGAGGGAAAAATCATGGAGTTCAAAGTATTTTCTAAACTGGCCCCAAATTTTCAGTGAGTGATTCACTACAGGGTTTAAATGGTTTTAGACGAAGAGAGTGGAAGTGGGGAACAGAGCACAGCCGGGATGGATATATCATTACCACTGCGCAGCTCCATAGCCACCCAGTCAGGACAGCCACCCTGGTTATGATAAAAATACCAAAACACTAAGCATCTAAGGTTGGCGGCCCAGTAATAAAACCGGAAATTGGGGAAGGCAAACCCCCCTGTTGTTGGTTTTTTGGAGTTGTAATTTATTGAGCCTTGGGCGTTTACCCCGCCAGATGAAGGACGAAAAAGTTGAGTCTAGCTCATTAAAAAGTACCAGGAATAAAAATTGGTAATGCCTGAAAGAGGTATAAAAATTTGGGTAGTATATTCATTTTAATTGAGTTAATACGCCCCACAAGGGACATGGAAAAGGGCGTCCACTTTGTAAGGGATCCCTTCACTTGGTTCAACAGTTGGATCAAATTCTCCTTGAACAAATGTTTATGTTTATTTGTCACTGTGATGCCAAGGTATGTGAATTTTTGTTTTTCGATTCTAAACGGGAGATTTGACAACTCTGACGTATTAGCTTTATTACCTATGGGAAAAAGTTCACTTTTAGTAAGGTTCAGCTTATATCCAGAAATCTGACCAAACTCATTTAATACATCCAGAACAAAAGGCAGTGAGGTTGATGGTTTGGAAATAAAAAGTAAAAGGTCATCTGCATAAAGCGACACTCTATGTTCCATGTCATTCCTCCAAATGCCGGATATCTCTTTACTGGTCCTAAGTGCAATGGCGAGGGGCTCTATAGCCAGATCAAAAAGCAGGGGGCTAAGAGGACAGCCCTGCCGGGTGCCTCTCTGTAATTTAAATGGTTTTGAAGTCTGAAAATTGGTACAAACCACGGCAGACGGTTGCTGGTATAATAGTTTAATCCATGAAATGAAGTTTCCTCCGAAGCCAAATCTACTAAGAACAGCAAAAAGATAGTCAAACTCAACCCGGTCAAAGGCTTTTTCAGCGTCCAAGGAGACAACACACTCATCCGAATCTGTGGCACTGGAATACATGATATTAAACAACCTTCTAACATTTAAAATACGAGTGTCGACCTTTAATAAATCCTGTTTGGTCTTTAGAAATAATTGATGGTAGAACAGTTTTCAAGTCTACGGGAAAGAATTTTGGCTAAAATTTTAGCATCTGTATTTAGGAGAGAGATGGGTCTATATGAGGCGCATTTCACAGGATCTTTGCCTTTTTTTGAAATCAGTGTAATACAAGCTTCGTAAAATGATTGAGGGAGGGATCCGTGTTTAAAACAATCAGTAAGAGTGGAGCTGAGCTGCACTGAGAGTAAGTCTGAGAATTGTTTGAAAAATTCTGAGGGAAGACCGTCCGATCCTGGGCATTTACCAGATTGCATTGAAGCTATTGCTAGGAGACTTCTGCCTGGAAATGGGTTCATCTAACCTGTTCTTAAGTTCTGGTGAAATTACAGGGATGTGTAGTTTAGCTAGAAATCATCAGTCATGTTAGGATTGGGTTGTGATTGTGAGCTGTAGAGCTCCTCATAAAAGTTTCTAAATGCATCATTAATTTGACAATGATCTGTGACTATACTGCCATCTTGTTTTCGAATTCTAGAAATAGTTTGCTTTGCCCTCGAGCCCTTAAGCATGGTTGCTAATAATTTATCGGATTGTCGCCATGCACATAAAATTTGGATTTGTTGTGTAAAAGCAGGCGTTCAGCTGAGTGTGTTGTCAGTAGGTCAAGCCTTGTTTTAAGTTCAATACGTCTTCTAAACAGTTCAGGACACTGATTCAGAGCATATTTTACGTCAATCTCTTTGATTTGTTGAATTAGGTTGTTCTGTTCATGGGTGGACTGTTTTTTACTTTTTGCTGAATAGGCAATCATCTGGCCTCTGATATAGGCCTTAAAAGCATCCCAAACCACAAGACTGGAGATCTCTTGGGAGGAGTTTGTAGCAAAAAAGAAACATATCTCATCTTGTATAAACTGTACAAAGTTTTCATCCGACAGCAGGGTTGAATTGAAACGCCAAGGTCCAGTTCTTAGGGGGAAGTGAGGAAGGGACAGTGACAAAGTAAGTGGGGCGTGGTCTGAAATAACTATGCTTTGATAGTCACAGGAACGGATCTGCTGTAGCCATTTAGTATCTGTGATAAAATAATCAATTCTCGAATAAGTTTTGTACATGTGAGAAGTAGGAGAACTCCCTCTTGTCTGGATTTAAGTACGCCACACATCACACAGCCCATATTCAGATAAAAAGGTTTGGATGACTGATGCAGACTTGCTTATGACATTACTTTTAAGAGACGAGCGGTCCAAAACTGGGTCCAGCCAACAGTTAAAGTCACCCCCTAGGACCAATGAATATTTATTAAGGTCAGGTAGGGAAGAAAATAGTTGTTTAAAAAAATTCTCATCATCTGTATTAGGAGCGTAAACATTGACCAAGGCGACCAGGGTGTCGTACAATTTCCCACAAACTATAATAAATCTGCCTTGTTTATCAGCTACCACATTATCGGCCTCGAATGGAGTATTCTGGCTGATCAGTATAGAGACCCCCCGTGCCTTTACCTGAAAATGGGAGTGAAAACATTGTCCCTTCCAACATGTCAGGAGACGACCCCCGTCTGAGCCTCTGATGTGAGTCTCCTGCAGAAACGCCACATCCGTTTTAAATCATTTAATATGGGAAAAAACCTTCCTTCTCTTGACTGGGTGGTTTAAACCTTTGACATTCAAGCTTAAAAATTGCAAGTGTTGACTCATGATTTCAAAGTTTGTGTGTTATCTTACTTTGACAGGTACAATAAGAATATGGCAGGCAGAGGATGGAACAAAAGAGATGAAAAAGAAAATAAAAAATTACAGTAACCTGCAAGACCTCTGATGGTGCCCTTATCCTCCCTCTTAACATTCCCCCCAAACTTAAACAGCTGCCAAACAAAAAACAACAATGTGGCAGCAAGCTCTTCAAACAACATTCTCAAAGACCCAATCTTCCAGTAGCTAACAACCTCAGAATAAGAACTAGAAAAAACAGACTTAACAATAGCAAACTAACCACTGCTCCTAGTAGGCATGGAGTAGGTGTAGACCCCCCACAGTGATGAAGATTTTGAAGACACCTTTTACTGGCCTCCATGAACACTATAAAAAAATAGCAATGTTTAAGGCTTAAAGTAATCACAGGGAGTGGTATTAAAAAAAGGCTTTGAAAACTGTTGGGACAGAACAAAACAGGTATTTGAATCTACACCTCCATTCATAAAGTCCAGCAACAGCTAAATGGTGGCCAGACCCCAAACCACCATTATGAGTAGGGTTAAATGACAACAGGCTATATTTACAGTACCTGCTGTGCCCCGAGATAAGCAGCCCACCCTGTTTCTGGAGTAAACCCCCGGCAGAGTGTTGCTCCTTTATTGGACTTCCTGTGGTTTTGGAAGCCTCTTGATGAACTGTTGAGCCTCTTCCACCGAACCAAGGAGTTTCTTGACACCGTTGGGCTGCGTTATGCGAAGACGGGCTGGGAAGAGAAGAGCCGGCCTCAGGCCCCGCTTGTAGAGATCCGCCATGACGTCCTTATATTCTGCCCGCTGGGCCAGCACGTCTGGGCTGTAGTCCTCCACAATACGAAGAGACGCGCCTTTGTAGTCGAAATTTCCTCTCCTCCTGGCTTCCCGGATGATGAGGTCTTTGACCAGGTACCGATGCAGGCGGAGGATCACAGGGCGAGGTGGACGTCCTGCGGGCCGCTTCGCTGCCAGAGAGCGGTGTGCTCTGTCGAGCTCTGGTGGGGTCGGGAGCACCTCTTTCCCAAAAAGTTCGCAGAGAAGGTTGGAGAAGAAATGAGTAGGGCGCCCACTTTCAGTGTCTTCGGGTAGGCCGAGGATACGGATGTTCTGTCGTCTGCTGCGGCTCTCCAAGTCAGTCACCTTGTCCTTTAGCTTAGCATTGTCTTCACGGAGAGCAGCACACGAGTCTTCGAGGCTAGCCACCCGCTGGCCCAGATCCTCTGTCGCGAGCTCCAAAGAGGAGACTTGTTCAGCCTGTTCTTCCAAGGCCTGGCGCACCTGATCCAGCTTGGAGCTTAACATGTTGACAGAGGACCCGAACTCAGACTTCAGATCCTCACCGTGCTGCTGAAGTAGTGCGGTGATAGCTTCTAGCGTTAAGCTAGCGTCCTCTTTCTTACTTCCTTTCATGCTCTTACCAGCCATTACTAGTGGATATATAATCAAAACACTAGCCAAAAAGTTTTTATATTAATTGGAGGCGTAAAATTAGCTTTCTGTGGGGTGAGTTTAATTAAAAGGTTGGATTTTACCGGAGCCGTCCGTTGCTACGTCTACCCTGACCGCATGGCAAACCGGAAGTCGTCTTCAAAGTAAATATTTGGTTAACAAGTTAAATTTAATTTCTTGCTAAATTAAATTTAGCAAGAAATTGTCTAAACATTTAGGAAGTTCAATATTTAGCTTACAAAATAAACATTCAGTTCACAATTAAATATCTAATATACAACTATTTAGAAGAATTTAAACCTAAATATCATATACTAACTGTAAACTAAATATATAATTTGGAGCCAAATATTTATTTGTAAACTAAATATTTAGCTTGCTTATATGATTCCTGGCTTCCTTATTAAATAGAAAACATAGGATGATAGAGGAAACGTGCCCCCTTCACTTCCGAGTGCAATGGTCCCATTTCCAATAAGGTCTGAGATTGACAGCGGTCCGTCCCGCCCCTTCCTGTTTGCTGCAGCAGGTCCTTCTCGGATCACCGGTACTGAATGTGAAACCACCACCAGTAACAGCTATTTCCAAACCGGACTCAGAGCTCCAGAACCAGGTACCGGACAACACAGAGACCGGAAGTGAGTTTCATTCATTGTTTCATTATGCAGCTGAAGGCAGCTCTTCCTCTTCCTCTGTTTGCTCCTCCTCCTCATCACCGGTTATTTCTAGTTCTGATTTATTTCAATGCTCCAGTTCAAATTAAAAGGCTTAATAATAATGTTACTCATCACTGGAGGAGCCAGGCAGTTGGACCATTACACATCATTTACCCAGAATGCATTGCAGCGTGAACAACATTCCTGCGACAATATTTTATTAAAATTTATAAAAACTAAAAAACCCAGTGTTACTACTGTATTGCTTTTACATCTAAACAAAATATTTCCCAAAATAAAGTCTATTTTTATTACTAATTGTGGTTCCTTTTAATGTTTTGACTGTGTAACTTTACAAATGGCCCCCATCGTTTTCACCTCTTAAATGTCAGTTTTAGTGACATTTAATCAAAGGCTCTAAGATTAAAAACAAATTAAACTTGTTTTAATATTTAGGGACTTGGCAGTAGTTTTTATTATTTGTGTAGACTCAATAAAAACATTGCCACCTAGTGGCAAAGATCAGACTCTTTGTTACCTCCATTTTGTCCGATTCCAAAACCACTTCCTGTCCCCGCTCCATTGGACGTGTGACTTCCTGCTCCGCCGCCAGCCGGACTGATGCTGCAGTCCTCTCCGCTGTAACCATGGCAACACTTCCACTCCATCTCCGTCACGGTTTTGTAGGCCACTTTGTAGCGTGGCCTGTAGGTCCGGTAGCTGCGGAGACACCAAACATGGAGGCTCAGTGCGCCGGTTCTGAGAGGGCCGGGTCAGAAATGGGTCAGCGGTCACTCACACCACGACCCGGCTGCACTGGGTGCTGCCCCAGCTGCACGGGTGGTAGTCGGGCTTCACGTAGGTCTCCACGCCGTCCTCCACCACGCAGCTCACAGTCTTCGTGAGGACGAACCGCACACCAGTTCCTTCAAGACAGACACACAGTTTAAAAAGTGGGTTCTGGTTCTGATCCAGTTCTGGGACACACAGTGGAGGGCTCTGGTTCTGGGATGTCACAGTTTATGGTTCAGTTTTAGCTCTGGAAGTACAAGAGGAGAAACAAAACATCCAAAGAAGAAGAAATCATTGAGGTCCAAATCCAGCTGCCTGCAACATCCAACCAGTCCAAAACATCAAAGTGGTTTCTGACTGGTTTCTGACTGGTTCCTGACTGGTTTCTGACTGGTTTCTAACTGTTGAGGCCCTCTGAAGTCTGGAAAAGAAGACTTGTTGTTCTTGAGAGAGCTTAATGTCACATGAAACTCTGTGGTGAGGTCAGCAGGTCAGGATGAATGTGTCTCTGTGTTGACATATTTTTGTCGAGAAAGACAGACACATCTGAACAGCCACTGTTTCCATAGAGACCAGGATGGTGCTGGGCCAGTGGTGATGTTCAATTCTCCATTCTGAATCAGTTTTCTGAGTCTTTTGGATTTCTGCAGATGTACATCTCTTCAGAGGTAGAGAAAGCATTTCGTGGGAGGCCAAAAACAACAGTGAGTGGCGTGAGTGCGAGGCAAGCATAACAGCTCCTCCACGGCCTCAATCACAGTCCCACTAAACCTCCATTCCACTAAACCACCGTCCCACTAACCAGATCCCACTAAACCACTGACCCACTAAGCTACTGTCCCACTAAACCTTCATCCCACTAAACCATGGTCCCACTAACCAGATCCCACTAAACCACTGACCCACTAATCTACCGTCCCACTAAACCACGGTCCTTCTAAACCACCATCCCACTAACGCACCATCCTACTAAACCTCCATCCCACTAACCACCGTCCCACTAACCAGATCCCACTAAACCACTGACCCACTAAACTACCGTCCTACTAAACCATGGTCCTTCTAAACCATCGTCCCACTAACCAGATCCCACTAAACCACTGACCCACTAAGCTACCGTCCCACTAACCACCGTCCAACTAAATCACTGACTCACTAAACTACCGTCCCACTAAACCACGGTCCTTCTAAACCACCGTCCCACTAACGCACCGTCCCACTAAACCACCGTCCCACTAGCGCACCGTCCCACTAAACCACCGTCCCACTAACCACCATCCCACTAACGCACCGTGCCACTCATTTCACTATTTCACTGATTTATTTCACATCTTTGAAATTTGCAGAATTTCTTCAGAGTTTGAAACAGTTTGATTCGACTGCAGCAGATAATGATTCATGAGCCGCTCACACTGACAACATGGGGACTATTTGTTGATAAATTCCTGAAATATCTGAGCAGCTGCTCATCTTCATCAGCTTCATCAGCGCTGTCTGGACTGGTGACTGGGTTCAGGTGGAAGTACCAGCACATTGGGTCAGACGGGTCAGAATCAGGTTATTTCAGTTTAAATTCAGTTCACATTTGGTTCAGTTCACTTCACTTCAGTGTCTCGATGAACTAAATTGAATCATCCCATTTGGCTCCAGAGGAATGACTGACCTGACCCGACCCGACCCTATTTTAACAGAACCTGAACCAGAAAAACTAAACTCTGCTTTCCACAGGAAGTTCTGGACTTGATTTGCATTCAGAATCTGCTGTCCAGTTCGGCTCTCTGTCTAAGAGCCATGTTGGTCCAACAGAACATTTTGGTTCTGTACGGTTTCTGAGATCCGGATCCAATGTCTCCATGTTTGCTTTCAGTGTTTATGTAGAGAAAGCAATGCAAGAGGTTCCGACCCAGTCCCAGCAGAACCATGGGATAATGTTTCAGGAATGAGTGACATCAGAACCCAAACCCAACCCAAACGACATCATTGCTCCGGATCAGAACCGCCACATGAAGGGAAGAACCTCCTGGTTCTCTGACCCAGTAGAAGGTCTGACTCAGCCAGAACTCGGACCTGCAGCCCGTTTGTCAGAACCGTCTCAGCAAACGGAACCAGAACGAGATTCCAATCTGATTCCAACCAGCAGCCCTCCCATCAGAAAGGTTCTGGTTCTCAGCGTTTTAAACTCAAATCAACAGATTTCTACACACACGTGCACGCGCCCAGTGACGTCATCGCCCCTGCTTCACCTCCTCATCATCACCGTTTCCGTGCACGTGTCATCTTACCTGTGTCTGCTGGCCGCTCGGGCTCCGTGCGCGTGCGCGTTCCCGCCGGCGTACAGGCTGTAGGAGGCGCGCATCGGGAACGTGCTCCTGGCGTGCTCGCAAATCCAGAGCACGAGCAAAAGCAACGGGAGCGCGCCCATCCCGATCAATACGATCAATGAGCCTATCGATCCCTGATCACCACGTGATCAACTGCTTAGATGGCGGGAATATCCCTCATCTCCATGGAGACGGCAAAAAAAGTTCCGAGAAGTCAGTCCTACCGATTCATGTTACGGTTCTGATCCAAACAGAGTCCAGATCCACAGCGGAAAACCGCACCGCGCTTATCCTGCTCGGACCCACTCCTATCCTGCCTTGGACCCGCTTTGGCCCGGTTCGGTGAGCTGCCGAGGGTCCATCAGAATCTTAGAAACAAAAGAGAGGAAAAAGTTGCGACAGACTGAACCGAGACCAGCTGCTCCTCCTCTTCATCACTGACCCCGCCCACGCCGGAGGAGAAACCGGAGCCGGGCGGCTGCAGCCACACCTGGACCGGGTCGAGTCCGAAGAGGTTCGTCTCGGTTCGGGTCAGGCATCCGGCTGCTTCTTGTTTTCAGTGTTATTATTCATTTATTAATTAACACACAAAATAAAAAAAACGAAGTTTCCTCAGGATGGCATTTAACCCCCAACCTGATTCTGACCCAACCGGGTTCTGACCCTGAATGGCTGAAGTTACCCAGAATTCATCTGTTCCACCTGTATGATCAGAACTGAGACTCAGCGGGTCTGAACCAGAACTTGAAGGTTCTGCACGGGCTGAGGAGATTTGTAGAGCCACCACTGATCAGAACCAACCCGGTTCTTCTTCAGGCCATCTGACCTTCTGACCCCTCAGGCTCTGCCCCCTCACCTGGATGGCCTGCAGGCAAACCGGACCTGCGTCTGCTGCTGGTCCGTTTGCTGCTGGTCCTGGAAACCAGGTTCTCTGGTTTCCAGGTTGCAGCAGAAGCCGGAATTTTGCGAAAGATGCTTCAACAGAAACCACAGAAGAAGAAACATCAGTTTTGGGCAGACCAGAACTAGAAATCCAGAACCTCACTTCCTTCCTCAGAGGAAGCGGAAGTCGGTCTGCAGCCGGGTTCTGAACGTCAGCTTGACCCTGCATGGCGCGGCGCGCTGGAGGCTCATCCATCAAGGCCGCCAGGAATGCTGTGGAATGTTTTGGATGTTTGGGATGTTTGGGAATGTGTGGTGGCCGAAAGCGGGTCAGGAATCTGAGGCTCCACGAAACAGTCGCCACAAATTCACCCAATTTCAGCTGAGGAGGAAACATCTGATAAAGGGGCGGAGCTACGGTTGAGGAAGAGCAGCAAAAGAGGAAGATGAGACTGACAACCCACAAGAGGGATCAAAGTTCACACATTTACCAACAAACCACAAGCTATGTTTTCTGACCAAGTGTCGTTCAAGTGACATTCAGGTGCCTTCAGGTGACATTCAAGTGACCTTCAGGTATCGTTCAGGTGGGTTCAGGTGACGTTCAGGTGCGATCAGGTGACGCTCAGGTGACGTTCAGGTGACGTTCAGGTGCGTTCAGGTGACGTTCAGGTGCGTTCAGGTGCGTTCAGGTGACGTTCAGGTGCGTTCAGGTGCTTTCAGGTGACGTTCAGGTGCATTCAGGTGACGTTCAGGTGCGTTCAGGTGACGTTCAGGTGCGTTCAGGTGACGTTCAGGTGCATTCAGTGACGTTCAGGTGCGTTCAGGTGACGTTCAGGTGACGCTCAGGTGACGTTCAGGTGCGTTCAGGTGACGTTCAGGTGCGTTCAGGTGAGGTTCAGGTGCGTTCAGGTGCGTTCAGTTGACGTTCAGGTGCATTCAGGTGACGCTCAGGTGACGTTCAGGTGCGTTCAGGTGACGTTCAGGTGCGTTCAGGTGACGTTCAGGTGCGTTCAGGTGACGTTCAGGTGCGTTCAGGTGCGTTCAGGTGATGTTCAGGTGCGTTCAGGTGACGTTCAGGTGCGTTCAGGTGACGTTCAGGTGCGTTCAGGTGACGCTCAGGTGACGTTCAGGTGCGTTCAGGTGACGTTCAGGTGCGTTCAGGTGACGTTCAGGTGACGTTCAGGTGCGTTCAGGTGCGTTCAGGTGACGTTCAGGTGCGTTCAGGTGACGTTCAGGTGCGTTCCGGTGACGTTCAAGTGACGTTCAGGTGCGTTCAGGTGACGTTCAGGTGCGTTCAGGTGCGTTCAGGTGACGTTCAGGTGACGTTCAGGTGCGTTCAGGTGCGTTCAGGTGCGTTCAGGTGACGTTCAGGTGCGTTCAGGTGACGTTCAGGTGCGTTCCGGTGACGTTCAAGTGACGTTCAGGTGCGTTCAGGTGACGTTCAGGTGCGTTCAGGTGACGTTCAGGTGCGTTCAGGTGCGTTCAGGTGACGTTCAGGTGCGTTCAGGTGCATTCAGGTGACATTCAGGTGCATTCAGGTGATGTTCAGGTGCGTTCAGGTGACTTTCAGGTGACGTTCAGGTGCGTTCTGGTGACGCTCAAGTGACGTTCAGGTGCGTTCAGGTGACATTCAGGTGCGTTCAGGTGACGTTCAGGTGCGTTCAGGTGACGTTCAGGTGCGTTCAGGTGACGCTCAGGTGACGTTCAGGTGCGTTCAGGTGACGTTCAGGTGCGTTCAGGTGACGTTCAGGTGACGTTCAGGTGCGTTCAGGTGCGTTCAGGTGATGTTCAGGTGCATTCAGGTGATGTTCAGGTGCGTTCAGGTGACTTTCAGGTGCGTTCAGGTGACGTTCAGGTGCGTTCCGGTGACGTTCAAGTGACGTTCAAGTGACGTTCAGGTGCGTTCAGGTGACATTCAGGTGCGTTCAGGTGACGTTCAGGTGCGTTCAGGTGATGTTCAGGTGCGTTCAGGTGACGTTCAGGTGCTTTCAGGTGACGTTCAGGTGCATTCAGGTGACATTCAAGTGACCTTCAGGTATCTTTCAGGTGAAGTTCAGGTGATGTTCAGGTGCGTTCAGGTGACATTCAAGTGACGTTCATGTGGATTCAGGTGTTCAGAAAGCTCTCCAGGTGTTCTAAACTTTTCCCAAACATTAGTTTTTATTTCTTTTCTCCACTGTTTGTTTCGGGGCGTCATTGTGGTTCCCAGTGTTTCCAGTTGTCCTGCATCGGTGCCAGGACGGCGGTCCAGTTCAAGCTGCTCGTGTTTAAACAGAAACAGCTCCGTATTTATCCTGCGGCGCTGTGGAGGAGGCTAATGTAAACCAGCTAGTAGAGGGAGCTGTGCGTACCTGGCCCGGCCGGCTGTTTCCACTCAGCTGCTGCCTGTTTATTTGGGTTTTCACGCCGCGGCGATGGAGCTTCAGGTGGAGAAACGTCCGAGTTGCAGAGGCGCTCTGAACACAACTGAGTTTCATCATCCTCAGGGTGAAACGGGTCGGGTCAGGAAAATGTTCTGGATGTTTCCTCCAGTCCAAACCTCAACCCCGCCCTGAAAGCAAACAGCAGAAACCCAAAACCACCAAGACCAAATTAACACTGCAACACCAAACCGGGTTCAGGACGCAGAGTCAGAGCGCAGCCGGGCCAGGCAGAACCACAGACCAGGTCCAATAAATTCCCAAGAAATCCTGGAAGGAGGAAGAGCAACAGAGAGGAAACTGATGAAAACACGCAGAACCAAAGACGAGAAGGAAAATAAACAAAAAACCCAAAATGATCTCCCGCTAATGGAACACAGAACCAACAGAACCAAACCGTTCAGAACCAAGAGAAACCCAAACCACCGTGAAACCAAAGTCACCCAGTCTGTGTCAATCCTCTGGTTCAGTGAGACAGATGATTCTGTCTAAGCCATACCAGTCCAAACGGTCCTGCTGGACCTGCTGCTGGTTCCTGCTTCCTGACTCGCAGAACTTCCAGAACCGGGTCAGGTGGAGTCGTACCTGTGCAGAGATCAAACGTCCCCCACTCGGCTCTAGGCAGCTGGAAGTCATTACCCCACTGCTCTCTGCCCAGGGCGGCATCCGACCAGGGTACGAACCGTGGAATATAAGGCTGTACGTCTCTGTGATGCTGCTATCATGCCCACCAAACCAGTTCAATCCCCTTTAACCCGACTACAGTCCATTTGCTATAAAGTCTGGTTTTGGTGTGAATGCCAGTTGACCTCTGACCTCTGGTCCTCCAAACCACGGTCTGGGTTCGGTTGAAGTGAACTCTGGTTTGGTTTGAATGTGAATGCCAACAGGACCAGAGAATGTTCCAAAAGTAGGAAGTGGACAACAGCGCAGGGCATTCTGGGAAAATATGAGCAAAGCTAGCCTGTTAGCCTAGCACTTGCAGCAGAAATGGCTCCTGGTGTTTAACCAAAGACTAAAGAGAAATCCTCCATTCTCTAAAATCTGACACCTCCATCTTGTTTCCTTTGGTGAAGCATCTTTGTGTCATTTCCTTCGGTACATTCAGGGGAAAAGTTAAAGCTTCGACATGGTGGGAAAGTTGATCATTCCTAGTTCTGAATCCAACAGGATTTCCCCTCGTTCTTCTGGAGGAAAGTTGTCATTAGTTTTCAGACAAAACATTTTCTTCCAGCAGCCATAAAAAGTAAAACAATAGAAACGCACTGTTTTGTTTTCATCAATGTTTTTCCAGAGGTTGGATGACAAATGAGGCTCAGCAGCCATTATTCGCTCAGACAAATAAAACTAGATCAAAACTGATAATGTCACATGACCTTCTGAAAAAACACAACTTTAATTTCTGATCAATAATATCTGCTGTAGGAAGCTTGTTGCAGTTGTATTTACTAACCAACTCCTGTTAGCACAACTGCAACAGATGGATGGATGGATGGATGGATGGATGGATGGATGGATGGATGGACAGTTGGATGGATGGTTGGTTAGATGGATGGATGGATGGACAGTTGGATGGATGGTTGGTTAGATGGATGGATGGATGGATGGATGGATGGATGGTTGCTTGGATGGATGGTTGGATGGATGGATAATTGGATGGATGGATGGATGGATGGATGGATGGATGGATGGATGGATGGATGGATGGATGGTTGGATGGATGGATGGATGATGGATGGATGGTTGGTTGGATGGATGGTTGGATGGATGGATGGTTGGATGGATGGTTGGATGGATGGATGATGGATGGATGGTTGGTTGGATGGATGGTTGGACAGTTGGATGGATGGATGGATGGATGGATGGATGGTTGCTTGGATGGATGGTTGGATGGATGGATAATTGGATGGATGGATGGATGGATGATGGATGGATGGATGGATGGTTGGTTGGATGGATGGATGGATGGTTGGATGGATGGATGGATGGATGGATGGATGATGGATGGTTGGTTGGATGGATGGTTGGATGGATGGATGGTTGGATGGATGGATGGATGGATGATGGATGGTTGGATGGATGGTTGGATGGATAGATGGATGG